TAATTTACTAAATAAAAAAATGTAAAGCAAAACGAAAAATCAAATCTAAAAACTAAAATCCAAAACCAAAAGCTGAAAACAAATGTTTTATTTTTTTGCTTTGTTTATTTACAAAATAAACTATTTCAAATTTTTTTTAAAAAAAATTGTTATCATATTTTCAGTTTTAAATTAGATGTTCGATTATTTGAGATTTGTTTGTTGGTAATATTAGTTCAAACTAACTCAGCGGGTTTAAAAATTAAAAACCCAAACCAAAAACTGAAAATGAAAAGTAGAAACTTAAAAACTAAAAACCAAAAACCAAAATCTAAAAATAAAAACTGAAACTAAAAACTAATGAAAAACAATCATCACCACAAATTTTGGTGAACTGATTTTATATCAAAATATTCTTTNTGTTGGTAATATTAGTTCAAACTAACTCAGCGGGTTTAAAAATTAAAAACCCAAACCAAAAACTGAAAATGAAAAGTAGAAACTTAAAAACTAAAAACCAAAAACCAAAATCTAAAAATAAAAACTGAAACTAAAAACTAATGAAAAACAATCATCACCACAAATTTTGGTGAACTGATTTTATATCAAAATATTCTTTTAATTAAGACAAAATCCAATTATATAAATTTTTAATCATAAAAAATTTTCGCGTTTTTCAAGCGCGAGTCAAAATCTAGTTATTTAGTAAAAGACGGCCTTGAAGCATAGTGCACCTAAAATAGGGTGTGAACCACAAAAAAAAAAAAAATATATATATATATATATATATATAGCATATCAATCAATGTGTACATTTTGTCACCAATCTCTCATCTCTCACATTCCTCGTGAGAGATAGAATAATCTAAATATTAAAAAAGCTAATAAACTTATAATAGTAATAGGAAATCGAATTTATTAAGCATTCTAATACAGACAAAACAAAAGATACAATGATATCAAAAGATCAAAAAAAAAGAATGCGGAAGACTAACCGAGGATGAGGAGAGCCTTTGATTGGTTTTTGACCATATTTTCTCCATGAATACTCATTTGCTAGAAGATTCTGCAATCTTGCTGTTTACGGCATGAACCGTGATCACTCTTTTCACTCTAGGTTTCCTTTTTTTTTAACCATTTATGAAACAATATGATTGTTTAAATCTCTAATATTTAGATTAATTAAAATTAGTTTGGGATATTAAGTTACTAACCTTTTCTTGGCACGAAGATGAGTTACACCCATTGGATCGATATAACATCTTCTCTTCAGTGAAACTGATGAATACAGAGGTTTATCCATCGAACCTGAGACCTGACCTGAGACGAAGGGTTAGTGAACACAAATCCTTATGACATCTGGTTACACTTGGTGTAACATCTTTGAGAAGACATGAACGACTTCACATGGGTTGAAGACAGTGGTTGTGCTCTTGTGGTCTTCCATTAGCTGTAGAAGACAAACCGTTCTTTGTTGTCTGACTGTGGTTGCCTTATTAGTGATTAAGGAAGATGTCGATGGACTGGTGCCGGAAAATAAACTCTAAATGCAGATCCATCCTACTCGGTGGCGGATCTAAGAATTAGTTAATAGGGTGTCAAAATTTTAATTAAAAAAAATCAGGTGTCATGTAGGCCTTGAACTTTAGTTAATAGGGTGTCAAAGTATAGATTTTACCATAAATATCAAGGAATCTTTAAGATTTTACATGTAAAATTTTTTTTTTTATAGATTTAAGGGGTGTCATGTGACACCCCATTGCCCTTAATACATCCGCCACTGATTCCTACTGCTCTGTTTTCTGTCTCTCTAACACAACGGCGATGGATGTTGCTTGTGTTCATATCTTCTCTGTTTCCAATCTCTTACTCTACCTCTAGTTTTTTTCGTCTCTGGAGCTCATCTAAATCTAGCATGTCTAGTTTCAGATCTATGGAAAAGAGATATCACTTTGTCTGGTTCTTCTCCATCGGTTGATTTTTTATAAGGATCAGTTTAGAATCTCCTTAACACCGTAAATCCCAACAAACTCCACAGTTTCAGAGTACGAAGAACCCTAGAATCCATCGACGAATGTTAGGTGATGAAGACCAAATGGACTTATGCTATCGGATTCATTAATTATTTACCCCCACATAATTTTTAGTCTATCAGAAAACAAAGCACATCGTTTAAATAATTAGACACGTGTCATCCTCTTATTTACCGAATTTCTGACGTGGTGGGTAGCATGGATGGCCTAAGGAGGAAAACACAACCTTTTTTTTTCCGTCTGATAATATTTCGATAGTTCCTGCCTTTTTAGTTTATCCCCTATATAAGTAGACATAAATATTTACATATTGTTATTTTTCCAAAATTTAATGATAATATATCTATGTTGTGGATATTTATAAATATATCAAGGAATAATAAACATAAAGTTCTTTCTCAAAAAGGAAAAAAAAAATATATATATATATATATATATATAGCAAATTTCGAAGATAATTAGTTTGGTATCTTAAACATAGACATGTCTAATCTATTCTTTAAAAGGAGATGCAAAGATATACTCTCTTTCTCTTTATTTTTTCAACTGGGATGAAAGTATGAGTCTATATTCATATGGATGTTCAATATAATGTGATTTAGTTTCGCACATCAGATGGATCGTACCTGAAACGTATCTCACACTCGTCTTTTTACCCTTCGCCCACAAAATCTCATACAAATAGTTTATTCTGTTAACACTATAAATTTTGGTTTTAGGTTACTAACTGCTAATAAGTTTTGAATTGTTTTTAAAAATTTCTGATAAAATAACAACATTTCTTACCGAATAAACTTGATTAGATGTTAAAACCAACTATTTTGCATTAGCATTAGGTTTGTTTGTGGACTGTTTTATAAATTACAAAAATTTGTTCAGAATAAAAAAAATGATTGGAATGATTAGTTGGGCTTTCACAAATGGATTGGATTTTAGTTTATATCTACAACCATATAAACTATCCATAATATTTTATGTTGTTTCAAAGCTAGGACCAAAACCATAAAATATAATTTGACTGTTGGAACTTTAATCTCTGACAAAAATATTGTTGTGCGAATGTATTTTCTTTTTATAATTTTTTCATTTAATTTTTATAACTACAATAGATACATTTACATTAAAAAAAACTTTACATACTAAATTTTAGTAAATATTTTACGGGTACGTTCCAATTAATCACCATCTATCTCACTATGATTATTGGCTAGAGAAAAGTTTCTAAATAGTATCTCGATATCAGAAAAGTTTCTAAATAGCGTCTCGATATCACTTTACAACAAACTTTATGATTTGCAATGAATAAAAGCATATCATTGCCAGAGAAATATTACGTATGTAATGAGTGTTATATCAGTGAGGTATTTTAGAAAAAAAAAAGAGATCAGCATTTTTTGAATTTCAAAAAGAAAAGTCTCCATGAAGATAGGCAGAATCATGGAGTCAATGCATTATGCCTCGCTCAATCCTCCCCCATATCTTCTTCTTCACACGTTCTAGAATATAATCGGTGGTATATCCTATTCCTTTCTGGAGATATGTTTTTATAACAGTAAGATTAATTAATAATAAAACTATTCAAACATTTTAGGGGTTGTCATCGTCGCAAATTTGAAGGCTACATTACATATCACTATTATACTATTATTAGCTAAGAGAAAAGAGTGATTGCCTTTGGGTGACTTTCTTTGACTCCTCTTTTGTCTCTCTTTCACACTTTTTTCTTCACGAAATCAGAAAACGAGACTGACAAACTCCTCGTGCTTCTCTATACATCTCACCCTTTTCCCCATATATTTCTCATTCAAAGTTTCATCACAAATAGTATCGATGACCACGCTTTTTTCCTGTTTCGCTTTTTTCCTTAACTTTCTCCATTTCTCTTCATAATGTATAGATCTTTGATCTTATGGATTACGTAAGATATATAACTATTTCAGTTTTCAATTATTTGGAGTGATCTTCATAATGTATCCAATGTCTAATTCGGTCAAAAAACTTTCTAGAACTTGTTTATGCATAAACTGAAAATAAAAATATTTTACATATTCAGTAAAAACAATATTTTTACATATTAAGTTTTAACCTAATCAAACTAGGAAAAAACCACCAATTTCAAATAGAAATAGAGATTATTTTATTCTTAAGGATTTTTTTTTTCAAAAAATGCATCCTATATAAACAATTGTATTACATCACAAGATATAAACTGAGTAAAAAATTTATACCTTCTGTTATTATATTTGCAAAACAATGAACTTTAATAAACCAAGTTGCCAAAATAGAATGAAAAAAGCCATGTTCAAGAATGCGCCAGGCGCTAGTTGGGCGGCTCGATTGGGCCTAGCGCATAGAGAGAAAATCGGGGATTAAGCGGAAATTATACGGGGTAGAATTTTTAAACTATTTGATATGTTATAAGATATATTAATCTTTAATTGTGCATAATATTAATACATTTTCATGTTTAGAATCTTATAAACACACACAAATAGAATATACAAAGTTAATATAATATAATTTCATCAAAATTATAATTTATTAATTTTTAAAACAAATAAATAGATAAAAAATATTATTTAAAAAATAAAAAATAAAATAAAAAAATGGATTAGGCGGCCGCCTAGGCGGCTAGGCGGTCATTAGGCGGTCTAGATGGGTTAAAATCGGACGACCGGTTTTTTACGGCGATTTGACATAAATCGGGGCGGAAAAGGATCGCCTAGCGACTAGGCGGACTAGGCGGCCGATTTTTAGAAAGAGGAAAAAAGAAAACTTCTTCTTTTACTGTCTGACAAAACAGAATTCAGAAAGTTTATCTGTTGGACATTCAAACTTAATTATTTGAATGGCTCTTTAAAAAAAAAGAAATCTTAAAAATTAATAGTTTAGAATTTTATTTTTTGGCAAGATTGTTTAGATATTTAATTAGTTGATTCAATTATCACAAGAAAACTGCACAATTCAGTAATTATGAAAACAATTTGTCTCCTTTGGTTAATCTTTTTTTTTCTCAAATTCTTTACATAATTTCAAACAATTTTTTTTCTATGTATCAACACATAATCTGCTAATTTTTCTAATTAAAAAACAAAATTAAGCTAATTTCCTAAGAATAGCTTTCTTGGTTTTGGACTTGAATTTGTAGTTAAGCTTACGCTTCGCACATGAATTATCAGTTTGAGAAGAATCTTTGCATGATCTCTTCGTCATAACAGGAAACTTCCTCCTCTTCTTCTTCTTCTCCACCGTCGCCTTCGCCTCTGTTATCGTCTCTAGCTTTGGCTTCCATTTTCTCAGACTAACCAACTGAACATAATCTTTCTTCAGCTTCACCGTCGTACAAACTCTCCCTTCTCCTTCATCTTCCTTTTCTTGTTCTCTGTTTTTTCTCCCTTCCATCATTAACTCCGACATGAACTCTTCCGACACACGAATCCTCAGCTTCTCTCCTGTTCCTCCCTTTTGTATAAGAAACGGCTGCTGCTGCTGAGTCCCGGCCGATTTTCTGACCAACCCAACTCCATTTTGAGAAGATTTCAAGGCGGCGATTGTTAAGAACGAGAGACTGTTCATGAAGAAATCAGACGGAAGGAGAAAATAGTTGAGACCGAGTTTAAGCGTGTCTGTTTCAGACAGAACAGGTGTCCTCTGTCCGATGTATAGCGAGTCTGATCTGCAGATTTTGTGCTTTGGGAAGTCTCTTGTGAGCTCTGAGACCGTTACTGGACGGTCGTAGACTTCTAAAGAACCGTCGGATCTTACGAGCTTGATTTTTCCGCCTTCGCCGCGGTCGCTGATGGATCGGTTCGGTCGGGGATGGAGACAGAGCCAACCTGATGGAGCTCTGTGTAGCTTTACGAGTAGACTCGCGAGCTTCGCGATATTAGCATGACCCATTTGGTAATTAACAAGAAAACGATAACTCTTCCCTTCTCTGTTACGAAAATAAAGACGTGAAGAACGTTGCTGAGGAGGAGAGAGAGAAAAAGAATCTTTGTAGTTTCAGTGTGAACAAATGAGACGAAGTTTTTCTTTGTGTATTTATACACTATTTACATTGTGGGACTACGATTATATACATACAAAGGGATTCAATACTTTATAATATATCAAATATTATTTTCGTTTTATTGAGTTGAATATGACGTTATTTATATTTTTTTAGGTATTTTCAGTTCACGTTAAACGCTTACTAAAAACGTTCGTTATTTCGAAAATTATTTTACAAAGAAGAAATTATAATAAGGATTTAATATATAGCTAGCATGGTATACCAATATGTTAAATAACTGGACATGTGCTTACGTACGTACCATCATGTTTCCTTCTTTGTTAAAAAAAAAAAAAACAAGTTGTAATAATCAGATGTAAGTATATCTTCGGTTTGGTCCAACTTGTAGTGTTAAATGTGATTAAGAAGCTATTAGTTTAGTGATTAATATGAGTCTATGGCCATGTTGAACATGCGTGACGGCATTATGTAAAACTCTAGGACACAAATATATAAAAATGAATTGGGAGAGAACAAAGACTTAGACCAGTGGAAAAGCATGTATGTGTTCTTTTAGACATTTCCACTCTGGTTGAAAGATACTTCAACTTAAATGGTTTATGGCATTGTGATAGTCTTCTTATGTATTTTAGAGCGAAACATTTTAGAATACTATACAGTTAGGATAAGACATGCGCCTTGTACATAGTGAATTTATATAAAATTTATTTAAGAAATATCGTATAAAAAATAAAATTTTATATTTTTAATCGTATTAATATTTTTGATCCTTAATCTTTTTTTAAATTGTTTTTGTTAAATACATAGTTGGTTGACTCATCAACTAATCCCTTTTTTTAAAATATTTTAGGTAAAAACATAACTTATCGCATAAAACCTAGTGTTAAGGCCGAAGTATCTGAGGTCTACTATCTCGGTTTTATATCACTATTTAGCAATTTAAAAATTAATTATGGTTATGAGAAGTTTACGTTCACGTGCGGATCTTGTCTATCTTCAATATTTTTCTCTTTTTAGTGTCATTTTTTTATTCTGGTTATTACTCGATATAAATATTAATTTTTGAGTATATTCGCATTTTGTTGTTTTTTTTGGCATGAGATTTAGAAAATATTTAAGATTTAATATTATTAAATAGATACACACTTAGGTTAAAATTCTCGCCTTGGAAAGAATAAATATTTATATTTATTTAATATTTTTCTGCATATTATGAAATATAAAATAATTATGATATATTAAATAGCTAAGATTAGGAAATAATAAAATAATTATGATATATTAAATAACTAAGAAATCAATTACTAATACTATTATGTAATAAATTAGTGTGTGCATATAAATCAAACGATCGCTCTTGTTTAATCATTTTAGGGTAAATAAATCAAAACAATCAATCTCATCTATCTTGTATTATATATAATTAAATTAAAATAATATTAACATAGATCTAGTATACTTTTAATATGGATATTTATTAAATGAGATTTTCACTCATAGGATTTAATAATTATTTGCATATTTGTATATAACAAACATTTTACACCAACAGTTTTTTTTAATGTGGAATGTTTGATGGTTTCAATAATTTATAACCATTTAAAAAAAAACAATGAAGATTTCAAAATTAAAATATTAACTTTTCAATATATGTTCAGTGAAAATATCAGCATATAAGTAAGTATTTTCATATGATGTATAGTTTAATTTAAACAATATGAGATATATATATATATATATATATATATATATATTAACATAAACAGCTATTAAAATAAAATTATTTATTCATATGATTTTATAATTATTGTCTCTTAATAAGAACAAAAATTTAAACCTTGATCAAAAAAGTTTATGTGAGACTTTTAACAATTTTAATAATTTATATTTGTTTTGAAAAAAATAAAATACAACATATACAAAAAAATTATAAATTTTGATTATATGATTAACGTAGTTTTGTAATTTATTTTCATAATAAAGAATTAAACAAAAATGATAGAAAATGTACAGATTATTAGAAAATTTTTATAATCTAGAATCATTAGTTATCATATATATTGTAATCACATTAGGTAATTCTGTAGGTTTTATTTACAGAAATAATATATAATAAATTTCAACTTGATAATTGAATGGTCCATAATGCACATACAAAATAATATAACATTCCCCAACAATTTAATTTTGGACTACCAAAATTTTCAATTGATTCTCAAGCCATCACGTAAATAAAATTAGCATTCTAGTTACGTGACAATTCAGCATAGCACTTTTTTAATTAATATAAACTATAGATTATAATTTTTTAAATATTTCTCCTTTAATATAAGGAATATCATTTAATTAACTTCTTGTATTATGTTTTTCCGGTTCTGGACCAGTATCCATACTTGGCTGATTAGTTGAGAAATGACCATCGATGGATTTATAAGATACTAATTCTTATTCTTATGTGTTCAACTAATATTTGAGATACTATTGATATGAAAAGATATTATATTGATGCCATGTTTAGAGATAGAACATTTAAATCCGCTAATAATGAACATTCAAAATTAGCATATCAATATTGTGTACAAAATGCTATAGTAAATAATATTTTTGAAAATTACATGTATATATTCATATTAAATCGTTAAATAATACTATCTACAAAAAGTGATTTTCAAATAAAATGGAGAGTATAATTTACATAAAATTAGCCTTAATATTATTTTTAAGAAAATCGGATCATATTAGTTATCATAAATATATAGAATATTCTGTTTTTAATAAGTAAAAAAAATATGTATATTAAAATTAAATATTAGTAGTATGACAATGTAAATTTTTGAAAAAAATCAGAGATTCTGATTTAATAGTATATATATGCAACTATTCAAGAAAATGATAGATTAATATAAATGAGTGATCGTGCAACATATCCAAACCAAATACTCGGCGAATAAATGTTATATCATGCTGACCAAAAAATGTTATATCATAATTTTCTTTAGAAAATATAAAGTTACACAATATGCTATCTCTTTCTTGACCATATCCCAAAACTCGTATAACGTCCTAAGTTGCAACTCGTAAGTGAAGTAACCACCTCTCGTTTGGGTCTAACTTTGACCCGCCAATCGGTGCACGTAACCACGTTGCCTTACTTTGACTCGTTTCTTCCTTACTTTATTTAGTTTGAATGGCCACTCCCGCCTTCCTTTTCACCCTCTTTTGTTTTGCATGCTTTCCTCATTTTGCCTCTTATTTCGAATTTCATGATAAACTTTTGTAATAGTAATATAACTATAGAATTTGGCTAGCGTTACTTATATATATACCGGATATCAGTTCTTTACAGAGATTTTACATATTTGGGCACTTTCAAGTTTCAATTTCTAGTGATCCCACAAAAAGTAGACCACTTTCACTTTTTCCTTTTAGTCATATTATAGTTTCTCAAAAAATTATCAACTAAAACATACACGAATTGGTAGATTTCTCATGTACATCCATGTAGTCCAAATGGTAAATATATCATGACAAATTTAAAACAACAAACAATGTTTTGAAATAATGTTGAAAAATTCGAAAACAGTTTCTAAACATATTTTTCCAAAGTTGTAATAATCATGCTATACTGAATGTTTTTATAGATATAACTAGGATAAACCCGTCCTACGGGCGGGCGTATAAATAAATTAATAATATAATTTTATTTTAAATATTTAGTTTACTTTTAATTAAAAGTAGCACCAATATGTTTAAATCTTTAACCATAATTTTATCTATTTGTTTTAAAATTTATTTCTAAAATTTTATAATTGTCTAATTATATTAAAATATTAACAAATAGTTATTTATTTTTCTCAATGTATATTTTACTTTAACTTTAACCAATAAGTCACAAAAAATAAAATTACAATTGATTGGAATGAATTTATTTATTCTCTTAATTATGTATTTGTTTCATGAATCATTTTATTGAAATTAATGATTTACACGATGTAAAATAAATAATTTTTGTCGTTTTAGGTAAAAGTATATTAAAACATATACAAAGATAATATAACTATTATTACCTTTTATACATATACATGTTTGTTAGCAGCTTCTATGTATTATCTATGAAACCGAAACTAACCATGTTATCCAAATAATTGATTAGAATTTTAAATAAATATTACTTATTTACACAAAATGTAATCATTACAAATTTTACTAATTATTATATATTTATTTATCTTATTATAGAATAAATTAATTATTTTCTTTTTTGATATTGTATATTTTTATTTCATATATATATATATATATATACATACATATAAAGTATGTAAATTAGATATTGTAATGGTTTGGTATACATGTACAGTAGATGATGAAGTTGTCTGTTAGTGAATTTATATTTATCTAAAACGTAAATTCTTATTTGAAAATATTATTAAATTATTAAGTAACTAACTTTTTTTAGACTCCTTTCCCTAATAATTGTTCTTATTATCTATTTGTTAGTGATTTACATTTTCATAAATGTTGTGATAGTGATATGTTTCATCTTATAATTTTTTTTTATAATTAAATATATTTATTTAAAACACAAAAGATTTGATTCGTAAATTGACAGAATGATATAAATAGTCAGTAATATAAAGTAACTGAGAAGATTTTAGAAATCAGAAAGTCATGCAGAGAAAATATATATAATTGCATTATCATATCTTGATGTACCAAACCCCGTGTACCTTCGATGTTGTGACCTGCAGAGATAACAAAGTCGGTTGATATATGTTCCAAGCCTCCCAAAGTTGGATCACCAGCTATGTCTTTGTTTCTTTTATCTCTCGCAGGATTGGAGTCTCTGTTTTTTTCAGAGTCAGACCCACATAAACGATGCCATTTATGGTTTCAAGTGCCATCTTTTCTCACCAGCTTAATTTTTCAAGGAACTTTATTTCGGATCATGTATCCACTGAATCGAACCTAGATTATCCCACCCGCTTAAGATTTCTTATTATCTTTTCCCACATCCTCGATTATCCCGAAAAAAATTCAGATGAAATGCA